AAACGTGACAAAATCTACGAAAAAAACAAGGGCATTGGCCGGGACCATGCCGCGACCAGCCCGGGATTCGAGCCCAGGACCATTTTGGACCGTGCTTATTTTCCCGCGCGGGTCGAGAGGGTGCCCCAAGATGTAAATCAATTGGGGATGGCAGATTCTTGGACAATCCAGGTCGCTTTCCTGGAGAAATTCGACCGGATTTCGTCACTGTAACAAGGGTCCGGAGGGGTAGGGGAGGTAAGGTCTAAGGTCTAGGTCTAAGGCTAAGGACTAGGTCTAAGGCTAAGGACTAGGGCCTAAGGCTAAGGCTAAGGCTTAAGGCTAAGGCTAACATCAACAGTCACGCCCTGACCCCACGGTGTGGGGTCGGCGGATTAGGTGGAGGCCATCGCAAGTAGGCTGGAGGCCATCGCTACTAGTAGCAAGTAGCTACTAGTAGCCACTTTCGCTCAGGCGACCGGATGTGATTAGCTGGAGCAGTGGGATCAGCGCAGCAGAGAAGCGCCACAGGTGGCAGGTGGCCACACACTTGCTTGAGGCCAGACATGTTGAGTTGCAGAAATCTGGGGAATTGGGTCAATTGCTCGATGCCAATTCCGTTGCTGCAAAATACTGGAACCCCACCGCAGGATTCTTCTTTGGACTATGAGCTTCTTTATGGACAGCATTGCCAGTCCATGGTGGAAGGGGGCCAGGGTAACTCCCAATAGTAACTCTCAACGTGTCGCTGCCGCCACTCCAGTGCTGCAGGCAATGGAGCTTGTGGAGATTCTTCCAAACACAATCAGTTTCAATAGTGCCTTGAGAGCTACGCAATCCTCCGCGCTGTGGCATATTGCAGTGAATTTGTTCCACAAGGTTCTTCAATGTCACAGGACGGGAGGGATCATGGAATAACTGTTAAAACATAAGTTCATTCAAGTCTTGAAAATGAATTAACATGAGTGGATGCAACAACAAAGGGAACGCGGTCATAGCGAACAATGTTGTACAGATTCGGATAGAAGGAGAAGTGGCTTTTTGGCATGAACTGAGCCTGATACGTGCTTGATAATCTTGATATAGATTGTCAAGGAAGTTTGATGAAGCTCCAAGCCGTGAGTGGCAGCCAGTGTCATGTGATAGTTGCGACCGCAAAACGCTTGAAGCAAAACAAGTATGTTGGTGACACGTCAGGATGGCCTCAGCTAGGAAAGAAGAGAACCACTCAGATTTGGTAGCCTCCAGTGCAATGTTGGAAAACTGTACAATTGTTTTTTTTCTTTTCGTAGCCTCTCAGCGCCTTCAGGACTAACCTCATCAGCTCCAACGCTGCCCTGCTTGCTTGCGAGTATGGACTGGTTTGGGAGTGTGGGAATGTATTTGAGGTGCCAGTACCCCAGCACTTTCCCCGAAATAGATTCGAAAGGCAAACTTAAGCTTCACGATAGGTGGAAGCCTGTGATACCAGTGATCACCTGTGCCTATTCACCATCTACTGCAAGCAAATCGACTGTTCTCATGCCTTTCATGCTATGGTTTACTTCAATACCAGGACCACTCATGCTTCTAGATCTAAGTGTCGGTAGGATCGCACGATGGCCTTGCGATTGCACTCCTCAATGACGACTTGCCGAGATTGTCCTTCGACTTGATGAAAAACGGCCATGGCTCGTTCGTGGCTCAAGGCTGAAGAATCGAACTCCCGAAACAGAGTGTCTCACCGAGCACGAACCTCGCCGTGTGGACGGTCTGCCGGAACGTTGAGATTCAGATCAGTTGGAAGTCATCCTCCCGGCCGGCTTGGCGAATTGAGTAGGTAGTAGGTAGTGCGGCTTTGGTTTGCGGGTTGCCGAATTCACCTCAGCCTCCATTCTGGTGGATCTGCTCACACGTTTAGAATGCTTGGAAGGCCCAAGTGCCTGTTCTTTTTTTGAGACAAACCCAGCAGTTTAAGTGCATGAAAAGTGAGGCTTGAGCAACTGGAAGCATGTTTGAGAGCATCGACTTATTGTCCAGGAAAACGTATGAGACATTGACATTGACATTTCTGGATGAAACGCTGCCAAGGCTGTGCTGGTGGCAATCTCTATGCCGGAACTCTTGATATCCATGGAAAGCCGAATGGAAAGGCCAGGCCAAGCATGTATAAGTACGTTCACGTGAGGTGGGACCTGGGATATGTTGGATAGTGACAATCAGCCAGAGGCTGTTAGGTGTTAAAATGGAATTGGATCATATAGGATCCATTTTCAAAGACATCTGACATGTCCGTCCTTTCTGGGCTCAAGCCCTTCCAGCTGAGGGAGTGAACAGTGTCACTAAGTAGTGTTCATCATGGGCACGGTGTGGGCAGTGCTGACCGCAGTGCTGCTACAACTCGGCAGTTCGGAAATTGTGGAACTGAGTACAGACGTTTCGGTCAACCAGACAGCTTTGGACATTCTGCAGCATCTAGAGACCTTGCAAAGTCAGCAAAGTCTCCAGTCCAATGAAACACATCCAGGCCCTCGGCGTTTGGATGAGACTTGCTGGATCTCGAGACACAAGCTGTGGGATTGTGGTATGAGATGCTATTCAGCCAGCTCCTGGAATTGGAAGCCCTGCGCATCTGAATGTGTTCAATTCCAACACCTGTCCTCCCGCTGTAACTACTGTTTGTCACACTTGGTGAGCTGCGTGCTGCTTCAATGTGTTTCGCCTTGTGCTCGAAACACGCACACAGCCAATTGTGAAGGCTGCATTCTTGGTGGCTGCAACAACAAGTGCTGGAACCCTTGAGTTGGAGACGTGATGTGACTGCTGCACAGGGCGAGCATCAATGAATGCAGCCGCCAAGACACAGTACTTCTCGCAGACTGGCTGACATGCTGGCTTGCGGTCACTTCTGCCGGTTTGACGAAAAATGTTTGAGCGGGAGGAAATCCAAGCGTATCAAGATTCTGATCTACCGCCATCTACCAAAATAGGTTCCGGACCATACGCTTGAAACTCCTCGAGTTTGCTTGTCAGGGATCAATGTATACCATATTCTGTCCTAGGATCATGCAGAAAGTTTAAAAGTAGTTAGATGCAGAAATACTCATTTAGCGCATCTCGTCAGGGAGTGCTCTACTATTTGGAATCTGGAGAGTGTGACGTCGGCACCTTCTCTCCCGACATGAAACAGACAGGCAGGTTTTGCTTGTCAATGTGCATGTCCAGAAGCTTTGTTTGAGATGTGTTGTCTACTCAAACCCATGAGTTGATACTGTAGTGCTGAACCATGCTGAACCGCTTTGGGCGGTTTGATGATTGGCTTCGGTACTTCGGTATGCTTCGATCAGGTATTGGCGTCCGCTTCAATCGAGAGCGGGACAAAGCCTTTGGGCTGGAGAATGGTGTGCTGCAGGATACATGTGATTGCTGTCCAAAGATGCCAACTTTGAGTCCACGTGTCGTTTGTGGCCACAGGAGCAGATCCATGTGATGACCAAAGCTTTGGAGCGTGCCGGCTTAGACCAGCCGCCTGTTGAGAGACACAAGGCACCTCTTGGAATCATCTCAATGGATGTTGATTTTGAGATATTGTGATTTTGATTTGTTTATGGAATTTCAATGAATTTCATGTGATGTTCCAGCATGGTTGACTTTCTTGGATTGGTTGCACGGCTTCTTCAGGGGCTGATCCCTTCGGCCTTTGGATACAACAAGACACGGACGGAGCAGGTGAAAGCTTGGTCGGGATCTGAGCAGCGGAATGGTGAACATGGAGAATGAAACCAGTGAAACGTTGCTAAATGAATCCAAGTGATTTGCTAGATAGAATGCATGATTTGTGTCCTGGCAAACTGCAGCTCGAACAGTTTACAACACTGGCCTTCGATATACAGGATATTGGTATACAATATATTGGTTAGATAGTAACAAGAAGCTACTAGTAAGAGGGGCATCGCTACTATGTTCATGTTGCTGGTGCCGGCAAGGCCCAATATCGTCCATTCCCTTAAAGACATGTGGTATGGCAGCCCCCATCAGACAATTAAAAAATACTATGTTGCATCATTTTCTGCGTACTTGATTGCTACATATTCTCTTTTGCACTTTGGCACAGTTCAGATGGCAGGTATAAATATCGAAGCTTGGCCAACCTGTCCATGACAGAGAGCTGCTACGGGGTCAACGAGTACCTGCCGGACAGCATCCGAGGAAAATGAGGGAGGCGCAAAATGCGCTTGCTGAAGCTGCTACAATATAGCATGGTTTTCAGCGGTTGCAGAGATACAATCAAAGTTGAAAACTCCATATGTATACAATCAGCACTCCTCACCAGAATATCTATCTACCTTTCCACCTCTTCCTGAGACTGGCATGCATCCCAATCAGTTCTGGAGCTGTGAGTCAGACACAGCTTCAACCTTAGTGGCCCGTATGATTTGGAGGCTGAGGAAAGAGAGTTTGTTGTGCTGCTTTGCACGGTTAAGCGCATTGCGAGTGAACATGGACACCACATTCGCGTTTGTAGACATGCGGCCTGACCCACTGAAGGGAATTTCCCTGGACAGTATGTTTCGTGCATGCAAGTCTTGGAGGTGTGTTCAGGTTTCGCAGCAGTTTGCAGGTGGAACAAGAGAGTTTCAGAAAGATTCAGAAAGTGTATAGTTGTTTGAGACTGTGAGCTCAAAGCCAATCCGTGTCCAAAAGTAAGGCTCCCAGCTGAATCACTAGGGGCCGTATAGAGGGAAACAGAAACTCAGCAAGCCTGAGTACTTGGGCAGGACTGGGCAGGGCAGATATCATGCAGTCTTGGATCAGTTGAGACCATCCTCATGGGCCGCTAGAGTCGCTAGAGGTAGCTAGTAGCTAGGTGGCTAGTACCTTACTTAGGCTACTAGGAACTGGACGCAGGATAGCTCACGCTTCTTCAAGGAAGCTCCCTTAGGGTGGCGAGGGAAGCTTCCTTGAAGAAGCGCTTGCACTAATGATTTGGTTCGGTTTTGGGGAAACTTAACGTGGCACTTGGAAATGCTATCGCATGCAGCACTGGATACAAGATGTTTTGAGGTACACTATGGTTCCAAACATGTCTTCTTGAACATGTCATGTGTTGCAGTAACGTTCCAAATTAGGACATATCATGCTATGCCTATGGAGGTCATCGCTAGTAGGTTGGAAGCCATTAGTACTAGTATCTACTAGTAGCTAGAAGCTACTAGGTTGGAGGCCATCGGATTTTTGATCGTGACAAAGGGCGAATGGACGTCGAGTATATATCCTGACTGGCTTCACGTCGAGGATGGATATCGAGCCTCCTTTGCGTTGACCTCAGAAGGATCAAGCCGCGTCCTAGCACGCAGTGCTCCTTGCGATGAACTTTTGTTTCTACAGTATAATAGATGTGTCATCATGTTTCAAAGATTCTTGTAATCAACGGTCGATGTGGGGATTCTGTTTGTTTGAAAGCCAACAGTTATTTGCTTTTAACTTTAAGCTACCACAAGAGAGAAACTTTCAAGATGTGCAAAGGTTGTCGTTCGAGCGTCCAGGCCGGAGCCTTTGACACCACCTTCAGAGCCGAGGCAACAGCCTTTTTTGTGTCATGACAAGCTACCCATGCTACCCAAATGATCCAAAGGGCGGAATTCGGCCGAAGACGTTGAAGGTTCAGCACCTACTCTCGAGAATTTTTGGATCGCCGAAGAGATCGAGGTGATCGAGGTGACCGTCATGACAGGCGGGTTGCACGATCCTGGCCTTACTACTAGGAGCAAGGACGCTACTAGGGGCTCCTGGC